ATTTTCTGCTGTAGATTTTAATTAAACAGCAAAATATTTGTTAAGAATGCAATGTGTTTTGAAGGAATGAATAGAAGAGATAGCATGCTCTGGACTGCTCTTTAAAGTCTATTATTGTGTATTACCCGATGCAAAAGGTTAAGATTTACTTTATGTATGCATCTGAGAAACATCCTGCATCTCTTAATATTTTAAAATTAACCTAAGAGCAGAGTTCTGTTTGAGATTTATTCTGTGGGAAATTGTTTGACGATCACAGAGTTGTATAAAAACACCCTAATGTCTCATAGCATTCATTAGTATTTAGTTAAGAAGATAGACTATCAAAGAAAGATTGGCCACAGTGGGTGACACTGAACCGTGTTACTAGAAGCAAGGACGAGCTGTTAAATCTTATCCTGGAGTGAAATTCCCTCTGTGGGAATAATGGCGTATGGATTTCTGTAGCCAGCACCTCCCCTGTATTGTATTTAGCGCAGCCAGAAGAAACACACCGGGACAGGAAGGACAGTCTGTGGCACAGGAGTGGCTCAGGAGCCCGCTCACAGGTTGCCCTCAGACATCACGGTGTCAGCACCTCACCACGTCGGGCCTCTCTCATCTCTTCTCCCCACCCCATCACCCCAACAGCAAATTCCCACCAGCTTCCAAAGGAGCACTTGATCAGTAGCCAGCAAGTTACAGCTATTGCAGCCTTTGTTGCTGTCTCACATGAAGGCTTTTTTTAAGGACGGAAGACTGGTAACAAAGCTCCTATTATATTGTGAGATACTAGTCTTAGGCAGGAATTACATGAGTAACAAAACCACAAGCCCAGATCGGTCACAACAAAGGGTAAGCAAAACATACAAATGTCACAATCAATCCTCTTATTCCAAGCATATGCCTTGTAAAGCACAAGAAATACGGTTTAACTTCCCCCCAAATCCTCAAGCAAACAAAAACATCCAAGCAGCTTCTCTCATTAATATTGACCAAGAAAATGAAAGCACCTTCACCAGGACACTGCCAAATGAAGCTCAAAGCAGGTGATAAACCCAGAATTCACAGCCTCAGCTGACCTATTAGGAGACATCAACATCCCTTTTTGCCTTGAGCTCTGTTTGAGCCTCAGCACTGTATTGTCCACTTAAGGGTTTCAAATACATTATATACAGCTTGAGCCTCAATACGATTTTGGGGGGGTTTGTGTGTGTGGTTTGGGTTTTTAAACCTCACAAAACAAGCAGTTAATTTTATCAGGCTCCCCAGGAAAACATGCAGTGCAAAACACAGCATAACACAGGCAGCTCCCACCAGCCCAGCCCTCAGCTAGCAAACCACTAACAATGAATATATCAGGGTTCCAGAGCACAGCACCTGGGAGGGCCACTGTAACTACATGTATCATATTCTTTACTTTAATAGACAGCAATGCTGTAAGCATGTTCCACAGGAAGAAGTCTTTCCTATATGCAAAGACTCTAACGCGAGACTCTATTATGTGTTATTTTGCATAATTATGTTCATTACCCAAATTACTCCATTAAATGAAGCCATAGGTTTGGTCTCGGTTTGAAAACAACCCTCCTCCTATCTCCTAGAGAACTTTCTGGGGAAAAAAGGGCATGTTTTTATAGTCCCCATCCCCTCCCCAGCAGCAGCTGCTTCATAGATAGCCATAAGGATCTCCAAGTATTGAGGGTCAGCAGAAAGACAACCATCTGCCCATGCAGACAAGGGCTGATCACCCTCATGGATGAGGAAGCCGGGAACAATAAACCAGTCCTTTTAAAATGAGCCACTAGAAAGCAAGAGAACCCAGAATATTTGTTAAAATTCAGAAGTAGTCTAAGGAAGTAGTAATTCCAGAAGAAAGAAGTGAAATATTCAATTAAAAAAAGAAAGAAGTGAAAAATTCAATTAAAAAAAGAAAGAAGTGAAAAATTCAACGAGAAACTGAACATGAGCTGGCTGATCCAAGTTTAGATTGGATCTAAGGAAGAAGTTCTTTCCTGTGAGGGTGGTGAGGCACTGGAATGGGTTGCCCAGGGAAGCTGTGAATGCTCCATCCCTGGCAGTGTTCAAGGCCAGGTTGGACAGAGCCTTGGGTGACCTGGTTTAGTGTGAGGTGTCCCTGCCCATGGCAGGGGGTTGGAACTGGATGATCTTAAGGTCCCTTCCAACCCAAACCATTCTATGATTCTATGACAAGTATCTCCAGCTGAAGTGCTACTCATAAACTACTATAACCAATTTTTGATGATAACCCAGACATGCAGCTCAAATAAAACTCAATATAAAGAAGCAAAACAAGACAAATATGGGAACAGGCTTTTGGAGAACATATTTCTTTAAAAGTGTTCATCTGATCTTTAAAATTTAATCCCAATCCCTCAGTCAGTGATCAGCCCTTGTCTGCATACTGGTCATGTATTTGCAGGGGCCACTTAAACAAATCAATTTGCCATTAGTACCTGGGGTGCATCCAGCTTAATGAAACAGTCTTTTCATCCATTATCCTAGATCAGAAACAATCCCTGCAGAGCAAGTGATGTGGTATCTTTAAAGTCCTGCTGCGTTAACAATTGAGATCAGGGTTAGAGAGATCATTTTAAAGCTTTACATCGTTTTAGGTTTAACAATAAGAAAATCTGCATATGGGTGACTGGGATGACTTTGCTTAACTCCCGGGTATTAATGAGCTTACACTCATTTTAAGGGATTAAAGTCTGTTTCAAGGCTTTAGAATGTTACCCAAGGTCCTAACTCTTTAGGAAGGTCACCAGCTTTCTAAAAGGACTGAAGAGACTCCAAAACCAGTGCAAAATTCTGTCTCATATCCACTGATCCTGACCCCTTATGTGTATTTTATTTCTTCCCTCCGGTTAAGTATATGTTGACAGGGAACAGCTCTGCTAACTACAAAAATAAGCAGCTACAAGAACAAGGGTGAGAAGCACAAGAAGTTTTACTATACAGACACTGCTAGCAAATCCAGAACCAGGTTAAGTAAGGGAGGCTCAGGAACCAAGCCTAGAGCCTGATGTTACTCTATGTGCAAAGCATGAGTTGGGCTGGCAGTACAGAACAGCAACCCCAAGCGTTCATTTTGCAAAGCCCACAGCTAACTGATCCAAAACACAAATATACTCACCTTCTCCAAATCCTACTTGCTCAAATCATTGCCGTCAACAGAGAGGATTGGTTATTCAGAACACAAACACTACAGCCACCTTGTGCTTTCACAGTTATTAAACTAACTGAGCAGGCTTCCTTTTCCCAAGCACTGGTTAGATCAGCATCACCCAGTTCAATATATTCACCAACCTAGCTACAGGAGTACTTACCTAGAAAAGAAATAGAGCTGTGATACCTGTTGCATCCCTGCCCAGTCACTTGAAGCAAGGAGAGTGGAAGAGGTCAAGTACTATTTCACATACCATTTTCTTTTGAACACCTTAAAGCTCACAGATTTACCACGTCCATAAGAGGTAAGTGTTATACTTTATCAGCATAGTTGGATACAGCCTCTGCAATACATTCTAATGCATGCCATAACAGTAATTCCATCTCTTGCAATTACACCACGGCTCCCAGAAATCTGTTCATCACGCCATTATGAAAGCACCACTGGAGGTTTTCTCTTTCCTCCTACGCAAGATTCTGTTGTTACCCCTTGAAAGTAAAGACAGACACACACATAAGCATCAGATGTTTATTAGACAACTCAAAAAGTCAGTTTTATTAGACAACCCAAAAAGAAAAGTACATATGTTTTAATTTCCATGTTTTAATGCTTCATCTGGAGGACCTGGCGATCACAGGAAATAAAACCCCTGTTTACAAAAGTTACAAAAGCTGCACTCATTCTGAATTACAGGAAACATGGTTAGTCCACAAGGAAGCTTTATAAAATGAGGTCACAGAACTTCAGCTGACTATGAAACACAGCGATATTGCCATGTATATGCGCTCACAAAAATCAGCATAGGAGGGAAATTAAGGCACTTTGGATACATAGTATTCACTTCCATAGAGGAAAACAATTTCAGAGAAACCACAGTAAATAGCTACTGGTGGATAGTGACAGTCCATGCCCAGTATTGGCCATCAAAGCACCAGGTTCATGTGAATGAGTGAAGCTCTTGATAAAAAAAAAAGTACTGACAAGTTCTTTCACCCTATTTGGTACTGAAGACTCACTGAAGCAGATTTACTTTTCAAGAGGTCAAGGAAGGTTTCCATGGTTTAAACACTGTGAAACTCAACTCTCAAAGTTAGCGCATCTTGAAATGAGAGTCCATGGTGAAAACTGCAGGAAGTTCACATTAGGGATTAGTGCACGAGCTGCTTCAAAAGACCACATAAAGACAAGCATTGACTTCCTCCACTCAACACCAACCGCAGGAATACCAGAGGAAATACAGCACAATGGAATCATTTGTCCAAGAAACAACCTCAACGCTGCACTTCCTAGTCCTCCTTCTCATTTTAGATTGTCACATGCTTACGGCCTGCACCTCCATCTGCACAAGCACACTAACAGATCCACAAGAGATTCTACAAAGAATGATTCCATAATTTCATCAGTAATCGAGTAGTTTTGGAGACTTCTACTGCAGCCTTTGGTACATAAATTCTAAGGAGTAAAAATACTCAAGAACCCTGCAAGCACATGAGTATTTTAACAGGAGATAAAGAGGACTGTTAGCAATGACATTAGGCATTTACAGGATCAGGCACTGATATTGTGTGTTATTGTTGCTGGTTTACTTCAGTAATTTGAATGAAAAAATGCCATTTATAAGGGAAATAAAAGCACCTTCTTCAAAAGTCAAAGCAGGAGAAGCCATGTTTACTCCAAACAACTCGGCTCATAGTCAGAACAATTTCCACAACAGTACTTTACAAATTAGTAGTGTCCAAGATATTTCATCTAAAGTCAGGAAGAAGACACTTGCTTATGCACAGCATCTTTACAAGTATATTCCTGTTATGTATTTGATGAAGCATTAACATCCAGAAAAGAACATTTCCTTTCATGTTAAGTCTTCTTTACAAGAATGACAGCTTAGGCACACTTCAGTATAAAACAGAGCTACTCAGCATTCCTCAGCACTGTTCACCATACACACATCTGAAGTTGAAACATAAAACATGTAATTACCCTTCCTGAAACCCAATACTCCATTCCTACTTCAGTGATGTTACATTACTTGGCCCACAGCACAATTTCTGTACCCAGCAGCAGAGTGCTCATGTAACATTAAGTCTTGGATGTTTGCTCTGCACAGCAACCCACAGAGCCCCATTTTGCAGTACATGAGTATTGGGAGAGTTTGGAGAGCAGCAGCAATAGTTGCACACGACTTAGGAGGCAAAAAGCATTGCATTGATGAAGCTGCCACATCCTGCGGTGGGGATTCTATGACCTCCTCACACGGTGTCTCTCACAGCTACACAGGGTGACAGCAGTCAGCTGTGAACTGACTCACACAACTATAAAACACTCAGTTGCAAACTTCTAGCCTAAAGAACTTGCAAATGTAAAACATACCCTAGGCAGGAGCTCAGCTTCTTACTTCACACAGCAGAAACCTCTTTATGTCTATTTTAATATGAAAGGATAAACTAAGGCATCTCTTCCTTTACCCCTCTGCAGATTACTGAAAGGTCTTCTCGAGTGAGGGTTGTATCAGAACGCATTTTTACCCAAGGACATGCCTCCACACTTTGCAGGATTCAGCAAGTCAAACCAGTAGGAAAGTTTACTTTTAGAAGTGTGATTATGTGAAGGATAATGCTATTTTAAAAATATAGTATTTTAATGGAACAATCTTCTGTTACAGCCAAAAAAATAGCAGTTGAATAAGTATGTTTTGAAAGCAATGAGAACAGAAGAGATAAGAAGTCCTACCCCAAGGAACACTCACTTTGCAATTCGGGCATTTCACACGTAAGAATACAGAGTTCAGTATTACACTGTTTGTAAGTGTCCTGTGCATAGCTTCTTCTTTTGTGAACCTTTCTAAGAGAAAATAATGTCAGCTCAAAGCATTAGATTATATTATTCCCAAAGTATAACCACAGGTGTTAAGTCTGAATATCCTTGGGAGGGAGAATTTCAAATGAACACCGTATGAGGAAGGAAGGATGTTTAAGCAGGGTTAGTTTCTTTTTCTTTCATTAGGTAGTAAAAGAGTTGAAAAACCTACATTTGGTTTGATGTTATCACGAAAAACACAAAAATTATGAGTATGGAAATGAAAAGCAAGTCTTTGTTCACCCCTAATCAAAGCAGAAAGGTGATCAACTTGAAGAATACCAAGTAGGATCATCTTTATCTTGGCCTACTCTGATTACACGGTTAAAACCCAACAGGCATGCTTGACCAGTATCACGTGTCAACGGTACTACTATGATTAAAACAAAAGTTAATGCACATATAGTGAAAAAATGAGTAAAAAGGCTTTATGTTATGTAAACTTTAAGATTAGGAACAGGTCTGCAACAGTGGTTCCAGCTTTTACTGACTACATCAGGTCAGATGTCACAAGGGCTTTTTCCCTTTGGCTGAAAAGCACTTTAAAAAAGCATGTTATGATGTGGTAATGTAAAGCTACATGTATATGCACATACATCTGCCTCAGTGTGCACACACACGGCTGTTATAACATATACACATATACACACACAGAGGATACATATGGTGATACATGCTGTGAAATATTACCAGCACCAGAGCGATGTCCTACCATTGCTCCCAGCTAAAGTCATCTCCTCTACCAAACACAAGGAAAAAGCCTAAAATAGTAAGGAAAATGACTGCATTGCCAGCCAGCACCAGACCACAGGCTCCCCATTTGATCTGAAATGCAAGGAAATGAAACAATCAAAGCAGTTCTTCCAGGTTCAGGCCAGTTCTTTAGATGCATTAGATAAACTAAATGAAATACTACAGAAAGGTGCTAAAAGCATAAAGAAAAAAAAAGAGACAAGAAATAATCCAATTTATGTGATGAATTATTCAATTAGCAACCACTCATATTCCTACATACATGTACTCATATAACATTTCAAGAGACTGCTAATGCTGGTTTACAACAAAATAATTACTTTGCCATACAAATCACTATAACATCCCTTAATGATAGATAATTTTGGTGAAATCACTGCTCTCCTTTAACTGCTATGCAACGAAATAAAAGCTCGCCTTTGAAATGCCAGTAACAACCACGGAAAACAGAATGGGGGCTTCAAAGTAGCTTGTTTTATCAAGCTGCTCAACTAAACGTACTCAAGTAAGCGACGTTTGTGCTTAAAAGACAGAGCTATGAATGAGAGTTCCCTCTCGTGGTCACTTCTGGTTCTGCTTACTGTCAGGTCCTCAAACCCAAAAGCGGCAGGGAAATCGCGCATTACCAATAAATTAAAACTAAGCACACAGGTTTTAAGCAAAACTGAAAGACTGAAGGGAGAAAAACAATGAAACACACAGACGTGTCTGGGTAGTCTGGGCGACAGGACAAGGCAAAGAGAGTCCTTCGCGTTGCAAACAAACGTGACATAAACCTCACCGCTGAAGGGCAGCTCAAAAAGCAAAGAGAAATGAAGTTAGCAGAATGTCCTCAGACTTTGAGGGGGCAAAGCATGAGCTTGGGGAACGCTCTGAAAACCAGAAGGGCAGCTCTAGAAGTTTGGCCTTTTAACTGCTAATGCACTCCAGTCACCAAGTTTTCAGCATCCTAAATGGAGAAAGTAAGATACATTCTGAGATCAAAATAAGGAAGGTGGTGCAGGAAGCGGTGCGAAAGTTGATGAGACAAAGAGGCACAAGATGTAGGAGGAGACAGTATCTTGTGTTAGGCCAAAACAAAACTGGAAAACACCCAGCTACACTTTCTAGTCATGCATGACAATAATGAAATTAAAGACAGGATTTACAGCAGCAAGACTGCACTTAAAGATGATACTCAGTAACTGGTGTCTTTCAATAGGAATCAGCAAGCAGGACTTACCGCTTCAACCCGTGCCAGGATTATAGGGAATCCAAAGGCAGAAACAACAATTCCAGTTGTGAAGAAATACGCCAGTTCCCTGCAGGCACTGCTGGCTGCATCACTGTCATCACTGACTCTTTTTGCAATGAAGTGGGGAATGGGGCAGATGAAGTAAAATATTAAGACAAACAGAGGCCAGTATACACTGGGGAGGGGGAGAAAGGAAACATATAATCAGTTTAGATGGATGCTTCAATAAAATGTATCTCCTGCATAGAACAAAGTAACTGCAATAACTGTGATTGTACTTCCTGGTTTGCAAAGTGGATTTAATCACATGCTTTCACCCAAACAGGCAATCATATTCCTTGTACATTTGTACTTGGATCATTTTCCTTGTACACACACTCGTATGACTTCACATAGAGCAGGAACCACTCTCACAAGGCCAAGCGTTAGTTTATTTTATATCTGCATCCCGCTGCTGATTCAACTCGCACCACAGCCACACAAAACCAACAGTCACCGCACAGGAACAGGAAACGCACCCAAGCGGGATGGGAACCAACAGCTTTCCCAAATTAGAGGGATCCCAGAGGATAAACAAGCCGGCTGTGAAGGCGCAGCCTCGCACTCCCCCTTCTGTGCTTCAAGTGTGCGAGACATCCCAACTGGAGTCTTGTGGGAGGAGGGCTCTTCACAGAAACAGGGAAGTAAGGGAAAGCACTGTGCGAGGTTAAATGTCACTGCTTAGCAAGATGGCACCGCTTTTCCTGAGAAAACACAGGGCTGTTCACACTGTTTAAAGGAAGCGCAAGTACTGGCTAAGGAGGAGGTACTCAACCACAACAAGCTGCCATGTGTCAAGAGCCAGGAAGCAGGCGGCTGCTGTTAGCTACCCACAGCCAAGCAGCTCCGTTAAAGGAGATCAACACCTCCATTAACACACACGAAGGGGAAGCTCTGGGCACGAAGCCGCCCCGCTCACCCGTAGTACTCCAAGGCGCATCCCAGCATCAGGAACGTCAGCCCGATGGCTCCGCTGAAGGACAGCGCCACGAGAGCTGCAACGGCACAAGGCAGGCGGTGAGGCGGGAGCTGCCCCACCGCTTACCGGTGACCCCCTCCCTCCATCCCCGCTGAGGCGGTGCCCGGGGGACGGAAGCGGCTCCGCTCCCTCAGAGAAGGCCCAGCCCGTGGGGCGGCGGCGCTCGGTACCTTTGATACCCGCCATGGCCGCGGCTCCCACCGACGCCGAGCTGAGGTGGCGGCGGGCGACTTCCGCCTACCGAGCCTCTTACCCCGCCTCCTCGCGAGTCACGTGAAAGGCCGCCTTAAAGGGGCAGTGCCAGGATGGGGCGGGTCCGCGCTGTCCCACCCTCGCCCGGGGGCGGTGCCCACTTTAAGGCGCAGGCGCTGAGGGGAAGCGGCCGCGTCGAGGCACTCGTTGCCATGGTAACTCCAGACGGGCCGCAGCGCGCATAGGCCCAAACGCGCATATATAGTGCATAAACACACGTATAAATGTGTGCACAGGCAGGATTTAAGTACATAAATACAGTTTTAATGACTCCCAGTACGTCAGTCACTGCCATTTTACAGGCTACTGATGAAGAGCCCCCAAACCGGCCAGAGGCTCCCCTCGTGTAGTGCCTTCTCATCCCCCTCCCGCGAGCCCGCACCAAGAAGGGCACATCATTTTTATCGTATTTATTAAGCCCTAACTGCTTGAGATCCCGGTTTTGACCCAAACCCAGCCCTTTCGAGGTAGGTTTGGTGCAGCCCTTTCCATACACCTTCACAGGGAGGTTTTCTTTAGGTACCTCCCACCTCTGCCTCTCAGCCTTCTGTCTCATTGTGCATCTGCTCTGATACAGATGGGGTTTTCCTTAGTTTTGTTATTAATCCCCAATTCAAGGTTGGAGGGGGCTTGGAGCAAGCTGCTCTATGGAAGGTGTCCCTGCCCATGGAGCTGGATAAGCTTTAGGGTCCCTTCAACCCAAACCTGCCTGGGATTATATGGTAATTCAGAGCCGACAAGGCTGCCTAATTAAAAGAGCAACTTAAGTGGCTAAATGCATCAACCGAACGTTGTATTAACTGGAATGCTAACCTATGGCACTTTAAAGATGCAATACTGACACCAGCCGACACACCGCAGCTGTGGTATGGGAAATGTAGGATTTTATGTTGTTTGTGAGCTTCTTTTGAGAGAGAATATGATGTAGAGCCCCTTTTACTGTATCTTCCCCCATAGTGTAAGGAGCAGAACAGATCCTCTGGCTATGATCGACACGACTTTACATCTCCGTACAGCTGCCTGTACCTGCAATCACTATATAAATCACACCTGAATTAACTAGTCTTTAAACATCAGAACATGGAAGGTACCATGTTCTGTTTCAGCTGAATTGAAGGGGTTGTCGCTTAAGCACGAAACGCTGCACCTTTTTCCATGCAAATTCCCTCTGAGTGAAGCCCTTACTGCTTTTACAAACTATTGCAGTAATGGGAATGGCTTCTTCACCTACTTTGTTTTCTCCCGAGGGAATAAAATCTTCAGGAAAACCCATATTTGGCTCTAAAGCAAGTAATTTCTGGCTAGCTTATGTGTTCCACACAGGTCGCACCCAACTCTGCACTACAGCAACAGGTAGAGTTGTTATGAGATGCTGTAAAGAGGTTGCCATTTACCATTCATTCATTTCCTGCTATTTAACCAACATGTACAGAAGCATTGCTCTGAACTGCATTTAAAGCAAGAAGGTAGAGGGTTCCCCCCCCCCCCCGCAAGCACAAAACATACCTGAATATGTTAATTTGAGCTCTTTAATGTATATACAAATGTTTTAGACCAGTCACAATTGCATTGAGTATATACTGTATTTACAAAAATTACAATAATTTAGTCAAACAGTAAACCTGAACATTGATAACCTCTGTCACTACCAGATATGACAAGAATTTTTATCGTTAGTTAACTATTTTGATATACGTACATCCTAATACTTTCATGCATCCATAAAAACATTAGGGATGGAAGTAATCAAAGCTGAAGTGGGGTAGGGTTTCTTTTGGTAGATAAAGTTTAATGATGGACTTGTGTTTTGTGAACGTGTGAGTATCCAGAGTCCTGTGCCATGACCAACTCGATACAAAGCTACTGTAGTTTTCATCATTAAAAAAGGACGTTATAGTAATGAGATCCTTTTTATTATATAGGCATAGGTCACAATATCTACAAATGTGAATGAGAAACAATAAACCAACAAATCACAGGAACATGATTCACATTCCAGTTATCTCTTTAAATAAGACAAGCACATACTGGATCAAAACATTAATAAATAACATCCAGTTTGTTACTATTATCTTAAGGTCTTTTATATAAAAGGAGACCTATGTGTTGGTTTCACATTTTCAGTTAATGGTAGTAAATAATGGACCAGTACAACAAAAGGATGGAGTTTTATACAGAAAGCAATGTACTTGGACACACTCTTTGCAGTAAGTTTTGCCACTTGAAAACAGAAGTGCAACAACAAGTGGATTGTCTTTAAAAACCAGCAGCTTTAACGACTCGCATCAGATGGCAACCTGTTCCTTAAGCAGTAAATACAGATTATTTCCTGCCCATCTTCTGAATATACCTGCCCTCTCAAAGCTCAAATACAGATACAACGTGTTGGTAAATAAACTGCTAGCTTTAGCTATTCTACAAAAGGGGAACGCCAAAATTTGGGGTGAAGAGTGTAACTTTCTGTTTAGCTAGGAAAGATGCTTCAGCTTTAGCATCAGAGATATTTTCTTGTGATATTATTGCTTTGGTCCAATATAAACTTTTAAGAGAATCAATTTGCACTGTATTTACCTCAAAAATCAGACCTGGTCCACAGGTATCTACAGGACAGCTTGTACACCATGATCTGAAAAGTGAAGTTAACAACAGACTGCATCCTTGCCAAGAGCCTTGGCCAAGTGCTCTGAAGCTGATAAAGGCATAGAGGTGATACAAGTGGGCTGGAAAAAGCCTTCCGAATCCTCAGGAGGGGAAGGAAGTGTGACCTATAGGCTGGGAAGTTCCTAGAACTGTGCAGCAGAGTTTTAGTTTGGTATTTCTTTTGTTTGATGGTTTCAAGCTACTGATGAGAACTTCCTGGGAAATGCAGTACATACTTATTCCTCACTTTTACAGTGAGGATTGTGATTCAACCTTCCCCTGTCAGAGGATTCGCCCCCTAAACCTGCTGTCTGACAAATGAACAAGGTACTGTTTAACATCACGTACTTGCTGTTTAACAGCCACTTGCTCCATAATGCTGAGGAATCTCTTCCGCACATTTCACTGCTGGTTTGTGAGGTGAAGTACAATAGTAACGTAAAGCAGCATTCAGGGGGCACTGATCTAACCCAGGATTCAGCTTTGTCTCTACTCAGGCATACAACACTATATGGATAATTAAGCAGCAAATGGTGACAGTCAGAAGTGTGCCTAAACCACATCTGTACACTTACATTTGATAAAGTCGGATCCAAACCTAGGATGGAAGTACACTGAAGTTTAGGCTTCACCACCAGTTGTTGAACTTAACTGAAGTGTTGCCTTATCACAAAGAAAAAAAGTAGGAAATTCAGCAGCTACACTGTGCTGGAGACAGAACAATTCTGCCTTACCCCAGAACGTGTTCTGTCTCCCATCACTTGAATCCAAAGAAAAATAGAAAAAGTTACAAGAAACTGTAACCCCGTGGCTCTCCTAGGGCAAGCCAGGTGGCTAGAGTTCCTCTGAGCTCAGGATTCTTGGTACAAGTATAAGGAAACCTTCCTCTTGTTCTTCATGGTAAGTATTAGGCTCTTAGTGCTCTGAAACTTCCAAATTTCCAGCCAGAGTTTGGTTGATCTGCAACATTTGTGACAAGAGACTATATAAGCACTAGCACAGGTCTGTGTGGAGACTGAGAAAGTACCTAATACAAGGGTTTTTGTCCTTGGTTTTCAAATTCTGACCAGGCATCATTTAGCTCCATAAATATCATCTTTGCATATTGTTCATATGGCTGCCCAGTAGCCTGGAATGAAAGCAGAAAGAGGGATATCACATCTATCAAATCAGACTACAGAAGGTTGACATTTGAGCAGCGAGATTCTCAAGCAGTCATCATTTACTTCCCACAAATGGTTTTCACTTTGACAACAATAAGCTATCATTGAGGGCTGCTTGTTCCCCTTAAGAATTTCTTGGCTTTTCAGCTCCTCGGAGTTGACAACCCTCAAGCATGATAAAACACTGCACTCCTGAGGCAAAACAGTTCAACCTGGGCTCTGCAGGAGGCATTTTACCTGCACGGAAGGCAAAAAGCTGCAACCTGACACCGTTCCTTGATAAAAGCAGCGTTCCTGCAAGCCTCTGGGCAGCCCACATCCTTTTAAGCCTTGCCCACTCTCCTCAAACCCTCAGAACCTCCAGTTCCTCAAAGGTGGAAGCCTCATCATCACCACAGGGTTTCCCAGGTGGCATCATTGCCATCTGGTTGGCAAGTGTAAGCAGCAAGGCCACCAGCCATGGGCTGGGGAATCAGATAACCCAATTCTTCCATTTTAGACATTTGATTTTAAGACCTCTGTCCTTTCATACGACTTTATCACACCCTCATTTCCTTTATCAAGTGCCATATTATGGGCTATTGCTCATCAGCAGTATGGCTTGTAGTCAAAGTGAAGGCGACAAAAGCTGACGATCTGAATCTGTTGCTTGGAGCAGCATGTGCCAAGCACAGTCTTGGGGCTGGAAGTGGTTATGGTCCTCACCCGTTAGAAACTGGCAAAAAACTTGAACTACTACTTTCTATAAAGCTGTTTGCACAGATAAATTAAGCAGTCACATTAAACTCTCTGTAATTAAGACAACAATGACAATATCTGATCAACGCAGGAGCAGGAAAACCTTACCTTGTCAGGATGAACGACAAGCACTGCCCGCCGGTAGACCTTCTTCACTTGCTCCGGCGTGACCAGGTCTGCCATACTAACAGGTTTCCACTTGGTTTCTCCTGCCCATAAGACTGTATGCATTGTGGACAGCAGAGCTCTTATATTTCTCTCCTTCCCTTCAATCCATTCCAAGATCTGGAGAGAAGAATGTGATTCTTAATTTACGCCTTAGACTTTTGAGTTGGACAAAAGTTTCTTCATTTGAATAGCAATGACTCCAAGGGGCATCTTCGGTTTCTTTCCAAGCTTTAGAAAAGCTTTGGAAGATACCTGTCAGTCTCTACTTTGCCATTATTTTTTATATCACTGCTTGAAAGTTAAGACATACCATAAGCAACATCCCTGCTAAAAATA